ATTTATTCAGCACATTACACAATACACCCTCACCTAGAGAGCTGCATCCCAGACGACTATCTAGTGTACATGCCGTACGATGGTAATGATGAAGATTTGGCCTTTGTCCTTTCCGGCCAACTATCGCACACAGGGGTCACACCCAGTCCCTTGGCGAACCACCGTGGGCACAACTTTGACTGCATCAAAGGATACCCAAAAACCTTTATTGATTGTGAAAAAATTCCCAAGGCTACATGTTTTCAGACATCAACTTGAACCATAACCCGTCAAAACTCAGGTGAGTCACAACATCATCATGGCATCAGTGATGCTTCACCACCCTGGACCATTGCACACAATCCATCTGGACTATGTTCCCACTGGAGCTATCACAACACTACAGTCATAGTTTTACATGCTCTCATAAGAACTTTAAATAGCCACATAACCTCAACATCCATGACAACAAATACTGAAACAATGCCAAGAGGTTCCAGGAAAAAATCATCGTTACTATGCTATAATCAACTTTAAGCTAAAGTTCAAATTGAACAATTAAACATGAGAACAATAATAAAGTTCTCTCTCAAATGTATTTCAAGAATACGTTCAGGCTCCTCAAGCTCAACGACAAGAAGAAAAGAAACTGAAACTGAAACGATAGAAGAAAACAGAGACTTGAATAAAGAGAAGAAATAGTATTACCCAGCAAAAGTTCATTAAACATAAGAAGAAAAGGAAAATTAAACAACAGGAGTAACAGAGAAGTGGAAAATGACACAAACAGTTACCTAACAAAAAAAAAAAAAGTAAATGCCAAACAGAGAGGTGGAGTGATGAGAAAAGGATAGTGTGAGCTGGCCTTTTGATGTTCATGCAAAAAATATGAGAAGAAGCTTAGAGGTATGGGCCAACCAATTCTTAATCTGCAAAGGAAGTCATGCTCCTGAAAATAAAAAGAGAAACCATGTGAGAGGGAGATCGAGAGATTGGGGGGACAGAGAGAGAGAATGAGGGAGAGGGCTGAACCAGGAAAAAAGGAATAAAAAAACAAAAACAAATTGCAAAAAAATAGCCATGGAAGAGAGTTACATCATATAGAGCGGCATATTGAGAGATACATAAAGAGTTACCTGTGCCAAGGAGAGAGATCCAGCTGCAATGGGCAGCTTTTATATTAGGGTTTCCTTCTTTGCTTTCTCTTAATTGTAGAGGGTTAGGGATTAGGACCTGAGCGTTATCTATAATCGGAGAGAAGAGAGTAGCATGAGAAGGAGAAGGTTGAGTTTCATGGAGGTTTTAGGGGGCCGAGAGAGCGAGAGGGTTGATGAAAAGAAACGAGAGAGGAGTGGAAGCAGAGAAAGAGAGAGAGCGATTACGTGTAGAAAGAGAGGGATCCCAAAAGTTTGAGGAAATAGAGAGAGAAACCATGTGAAAGAGAGGTAAAGTTAGAGCAAAATTGAGAAATTGGGCTGAGAGAGAGAAAGAAAGAGTACCTTGCTATAATAGGTGAAAAGGCCCTAAGAGTGGTGTGGTATTCTCTTGGGGAGATTTGCAACTTGAAGAGACTTGTGGGAGTGGGTTGAAGGTGAGGGGGAAAGAGAGAGGAGAGAGGCGTTGAGAGGGATGGAGAGTACGGATAGATAGAGAGGAGAGAAGAAAGTGAATGAAAAGGAGCCTCTGCAAACTTAGGCAGATGGTCGAATCTCCACCATCCATTCCAAAAATTTGAACAGAATGCAGGAAGCCCACTAACTCTATGGAGGCCACCAAATGATTGGCGTTCCATAGGTTTTTCCTATATATGTGTATGTATATTCGTTCTTTGGAACTTGAGTCTGTGCTTTGAAAGGGGGTCAGATCTATGCGCACATAACCTCGACCCGGTACGGTCTTGGTTGGGGCATCCTCAATCTAGAACCAACCCCAACCCCAAACCCAACCCCAACTAGAATTGTGATTCCAATTATAATTCTTAAGACAGCAATTCTAACTTAACCCCCAATTCAATGCTCCATCCCTATGGATGCCCATAAAAATTGATACACTTGCGTGGTGTCCAATTACTTTGGTTGGAGATGCATAGCATGTTCTACTTAGGAAGGTCACACACTCTGGGTCGGCCCTCAAATGTTAATAGGGTATGTTTAGCTCGTCCATAAGTTTTTTATCATCGAATCACTGATCACAGACAAGGAAGAATTGCTGGCTGCAGAGAATACTAGACATAGGCAGATCTGGATATCAAACAATTTTGTAATATATAACTGCAGAAGCACTACTCAAAATTTTATAAGTTGCCCAGGTGATCAGAATCACTACTGGATAAGATTTTCATAAGACCCTCACCACTTCGTAACCATCAGCTATCAATTGAATATTGCAAAACCAAGGGTTGCCTTCATAAGACCCTCGCCGCTTTATAACCATCAGCAATGTTGAACATCAAAGCAAATAGATGCCCACTGAATAGGAAAAGAAATGAGTTACGTTTAATCTTGGATTGTATTGTTCACCAGATTCAGACATAGGAAGACAACCTAATTTAGAACATGTGCAAGGGACTTCAGGAAATAACTCGGTAACAGTGTCAATAGCTACTTAATTTAGCTTAGGGCCTTGCAGATTACAACAACGAGGGAATTGTAGCAGAAGTCTCTCCTCCTAAACCAGTTTGTCAACGTTAGGTGCCAACATTATGTCACTAGATCCAGGAGGAAGGGGATAAAAAGCACCACTTACATGAGAGAGGAAAACAGGGCCAGATTTCTTCCACCCTTTCATATATAGAGAGAGCAAGGGAGAGAGATGAATAAGAGGGCGGATCTAGAGAGCGAGAAAGAGAGACGAATAAGGGGGCCAGGTAGTCACCGCTCTTAGGGCCAGATAGTCACCGCTCTCAAAGAGAGGGAGGGAGATACTTGAAAGGGGGGATTTTCCCCCTTTTCGAGAGAGAGATATGAAAGTGGGGCAGAACTGTCCCCTTTCTAGAGAGACAAAAAGGGGTATAGAACCGCCTCCCTTTGAGAGAGAGAGATGAAAGGGGGGGCAGAACTGTCCCCTTTTTAGAGAAAGACAAAAAGGGGATAGAACCGCCTCCCTTTGAGAGAGAGAGAGGGGTGAAAAGTGGGATTGGGATCTGGCCCCTTTTAGAAACTAGGAGAAAGATGAAAAATAGGTAGGATCTGTCCCACTTTTAGAGTGAGTGAGTGAGAGACAAAGAACCCATGTACCTGAGTGGGTACATGGGTTCTTGGCTCGGCAGCTAGCCGAGGCTGAGTCCCTTGGCCAATTCCATGTGGACTCTGGCCCAGTTGTTGAAAACTGATCAAGGCAGCACAAAGCAACACAGACACATTTGGGAGGATGATCAGCATCTAAACTATGCTTGTACCACTTAGGTAACGCTTTTAGTACTGGCAGAATGAAACTTCGGACCAAAGAGATTAGGATGCCAGTCAAGGCATTGTTTTTTCGATAAAAGGACCTGAACCAAACCTCTGCAACCTGAACTGCTGCACCTCAATTAAATGTGGAAGCATGAAGTGTAGAAGCATCTACTTCTAGATGAAAGTCCCCTCATATCTAATGTGGTTTTCTCAGGCTAACAGAAGCCTTTGAATCAATAGTTTGCTAATCAAGCGGCAGCTCAAACAAGGAGGATGGAGATAAAGGGAACCAAAAGAACCAAGTGACATTACCCACGTATATTTAGGAGTCACAACAAAAGAAAGAGGTTCTCAGCGTCGAGTTATCTCATGAATGTTTAGCATATGAAAGCTGCAAAGAGAAGTTTCATCTTGAAGGGCCTAGAACAATACAATCTGTATATAAGCACTCACTTAGCTACTACACTTGGCTACTACACGCATTGCTTAGACACAACCTCTTGACTTATACATATGGATTTTGAATTGTAAAGGTAACAGCAGGTTTACTCCAAAAAAAAAAAAAGTGCCTGCAGGTTGATAAAGGTCATGCTTTTCCTCTTTTTTTTTCCCTTCATTTTATAAATGAAGTCAATGTTTTTCCTCAAGAATCAAAAAGCGATGTTCCCAAATGGAGCTTTTTCTCAATTGCAAAATTTAAACCCTTTGTGCATGTACAACAAATAATGTGTAAAAAGGATAGTATGGAACTTAAATATTTTTCTTCTTCCTATTAGGTATGACATATAGATACATTCTCAGCCCAATAAAACCCAGTCATGCCAAGGAACCATCTAAACGCAATCAACCATTCATTTTCTTCAGTTCAAAGGTGTCATTGACAAGCATAATTGAGAGTTCAATCGGCAATCATTGAACTTCTAATGGAGTACAGGAAAGAATAGCATGGTTTTGCAACCTTGAGAAGCTAAAAACACATATTCCTGATCCCATTTAAGAAAGTGAACCAATAGGTCCACGTATTGTTTCCTTTGAACATAGGGGATCTGTTTAAGAGGACTAATGGAGCATCAAATCCAGTCATATCATCTCCCAGGGGCTCAAAATTACACTTTCCAGTTGCACTGTCAGCTTCCAGGGGTAACCTTTATGAGAAGGCCATTAAGGGAACTAGTGTCTACCTTCCCAATGAAGGGATGGATCACTTTGAAACTGCCCATCTCTAGAAGAATGGAGCTCCAATGAGCAGATAAACAAGCCATGAGGTTCATGGTAATTAGTGGATAGAATGAAAGATCGTAAGTATTTAGCAGCTTTACTCAAATGTAAACATAATTGGTACGAAAGATGATCATATAACAAATTGTGTAGGCAAATTATTGAGTGTATGTATAGTTAGTGTTGCTCTGCAGAGGAACACTTTATATAGAGTTAATTGAGATGCAAAACCCATCTATGGAAACACAGAATTACAGGCACCTACTCGTTTCCTAAGGTTAAATGTCAAATACTTTTCCCAGAAATATAGAAATGAACCCCAGAATAAACTTCTCTAATTTCTATGGAAATATGGTGTCCCATTAGTCTAGGATCACAAGAGAGAGTATGTTTAGCATTCTAAAGTTACTATGCAAAAAGGACTGTCTTAATATTCAAGAAAAAACAGAATGGATCACTTTCAAGTCAATAATATTATAATGACAGTGGCTACAAGCTACCTCCCTTAGAAATGATAAAACAAAGAATGTCCAGCTTACAAAATCTTAACTTTAGCAGCTAGAGTCTACAGGACAAGCTGAAAACTGCCCAAACTTGTACCATAGCTTCAATTAAAGGCTTAAACTGCAAACCAAACTCAACCCACTTAAAAACGCAGGTGGTTCATCATGTCAACCCACCAACCCACCATACTTCAAAAGAAGTACCATTAATGACCACCATCAAAGCTTATCTTCACTTGTGCCGTTACTTTCAGGGAAACCTGCTTCTACACTCACCTCCTCAGTGATCTTCTTTTCATCAGATGATACCCCCACATTAGAGGAGTGATTTTTTAAGACCACAGCAATGTCTGTCTCAGAAGCCCCCGCCAGCTTGAACCTCTCAAGGGCTGCATCCAAGTTGTTCTTCCATTTATCAGCCATCCCTAATTTGCACTCGATTTGCGAACGCTCAAAGAGCATGTTACCCCAGAAAAGATGAATCTGAGACCTCATAACAAGAGCTTGCTCCGCCATTGACTCTGCAGAGAGCTCTCCATTTCCCTCAGTGGAGTTGGAAGAATTCCCTGAAGCAATGACCTTCTTTCTTCTTTTAAGCATTTCTTCTTTCTTGCTGGCACTAACCCTAGGATCATTATTATTCTTCTGTTGCTCCTCTAACTTCTCCCACATCTCTGTGGCAGCTCTCATCTTCTCTTCCGCACTATCAAAAAGTCTAATTGTTTCTTCTGAATCCCAATTTGATAAATCCATTTTACATGCTAAGGCATAAGACCACCCAAGTTTCGCAGTCTCAAAATGTTGTTGCCCCAGCGCAAGTAAGCCCTCATAAAAATCAGGTTTTATTCTAAGGGCCTCCTCGTATTTCTGTCCAGCCTGAGAATACCTGTCTTGGACCCAGTCATAGGCAACTCGAAGGATTTCCTCTTGCTTTGATGAAGGGTCCTCGGCATCCAAAGGAATGCGCTTCCTAGCTGCACACATGTGTACATTGCCCCAATTGAAGAAGGCCAAAGCTGCCACTTCCTGAAACTTAGCAGCGGCCATTTCAAACAAGCCTTGTGCCTCTTCACTAGTCACGGTTTCCTCCAATGCCTCCGAACAAAGCTCCATCCCCAACTCATGCAGATCCACATGAGCATCTGGATCGATACCCACATGAGAACGAAACAATTGAGCAAACTCAAAGAGCCAATCATCCATCTCCATCACCTCATCTTCACCCTTCTCTTTTCTTTCAGCTTCACCCTCCTCTTTTTGCTTCTTTTCTTCTACAACAGAGTCAATGTCAATTGCGGAACCAGTTTCCTCTCCAACCATTGCCAGAGGCCCCTCCTCTTCTTCATCTTCCACTAAATGCTCCTGCTTGGGACTAACCTCCACAACATGAAGCCTCAAAACTCCAAGAGATTCCTCTAAAACCTCACCCTCGATAGATCCATCAACCACATCCTTCTTCTTCAACAAGTCAGCGCATAGCTCTGCCAACCTTAACTCTTCTGTTCCTGTGATTGTAACAAGATCCCCCTCCGAATCCCTGTACTTCATCAACACCGACTTTGAGCATGGGAACTTCTTCCTCACAATCTCCCTCAAAACCTTGTACCCACAACTTGCCGGCATCTGCGCAAGCCTGATGTCATGATCATATACCAACTTCAGTGGCCTCCAACGCACAGATAACTTCAAATTCAAGTCCCTCTCTTCTTTGCCCATATTCACAGTCCTGTATGCCGCTGGCTTCAAATTTGCAGGCTTTGTGGGAGTGAGAACAGTCTCGGACGGAGTAGAAGGGGAAACCATTTTGGGTGTTTGTTTCAAAACAGGATGACCCCTCAATGAGGACAATGGTTCTTCAAGTGGGGAAGGCGGGGGAGCTTTACTCAGCTTCTTGGGGCGTGCTGGCAAGCACGGGCCAAGCCCTGCGATCGGGGCACCCCCAACTGCAGACGCACCAAGGGCAGCTGGCGATGTTCCTGCATACGAAGATGAGGCCACCAAAGGCCTCTGCTGGAGGTCCTGCTGGGCAGGGTCATGGACAAGAGGAACACGCAGGCGGCGAGCGAGCTCAATGGCATCACCATTGCAAGGGTCCGCCTGCAGCAGCATCTGTACATCGCGCATGGCAAGATCGAGCCTCCCCAGGGCCTCGTGGGCACGGGCACGGCGGAGGAGTGCCCTTGGGAAGCCCGGCTGCGACTCAAGAGCAAGGGAGCACTCCGCCACTACAGCATCATAGCGCACAGGTTTCATCTGCATGAGGCATGCGGCACGATTGCTGTGGAAGACAGCACGGTCGGGGTGGGACTTTGGCGTGAGCTTGAGAGCCTGCTCGTATTGCTCGAGGGCACCCATATAGTCCTTGGATTGGAAGCGGCGGTTCCCCTCTTCCTTGAGCTCATGGGCACGTTTTAAGAAGATTGTTGACTCTGTATCCAGTCCGTTGTTAATGGTCTCGCCCCCATTTCCGCCACTGCCAGTGCCCACTGCTGATGCTAATGTAGCTGCGGCTGCCTTCTTTTTTTTCCCACCAGACTTGCCCATTGTTACCAATTTGTTGGCCTCCACAATTCAATCACCTCAATGAAGCGCCAATCTACAAGTTAAGAGGCAAAGCTCCCTCCGCTCTGTTATTGAAAGAAAAAGCAAAGCTCTCTTCCACCTGGGCTCCGATATTGAAAGAAAGGGGAAAAGCTCTATGCCACCCCCTCTCTGTGCATTTATTCCCTCTAACAATGAAAAACTCTTCAACAAATAGATAAAAAAAATTTTCAATCCTAAATCAAGACCAGACTGGTTTCAATCCTAAAAAATGACCAGACCGAACTCTCTCTCTCTCTATAAAAAAATCTCTTCCACCAAATAAATGACCTAAAACTCTAGCAGTCAAACAAACAAACAGATCAAAAGCTCCAAATTCATATAAAACAATTAGCTTTGTTTCGCCTACTCTGTGAGTGAATGTGCAGGCGGCCCGAGATTAGATGGATGAAGAGGGACTTACCTCAAAGCGAGAGGAGAGAGAGAAAGAAAGAGGTCAGAATGATTCATTCATTTTTCAACGAAGCGGGGAGGAGGGTCAAATCGATATGCCTCCATGTGTACAGGAAACAGATAGATTTCGTAAAACCCTAGAAACTCCGATGCAAGGGAGGGGACTCTATTTCTCGCCTCGGTCCTTCGGGAGTTTATCCCGTGATTGTAAAGCAATTACCCTTTACCAAGGAAAAAGTTCATATAAGATCTCAACCACGGGTACGGTGCGCCTGACAATCCCACTATTGATGGTTGTTCATGCGGTGAAAGACCTCAAAGTGATCATTTCGACGTCACTATTGATGGTTGTTCATGTGGTGAAAGACCTCAAAGTGATCATGTCGATGTCGAGATTCGTAGATACGAAAAAAAAAAAAGGGGACTTTTTATCTTAAAAACATTACATCCTCAAACGCATTATTTGGATAGTCGATTTTTAAATTTTCAACCGTTTACAGATAACTTCAAAATTTATAATTGGGGCAATAATAGATGTTCATATTATTGCAAGGTTTTACGGTACCGAAGTTGTATTCATAATTTTGTGAGGCACCTTACTTCAATAGTAAAAGGTTGACACCTTATATGAACCTCACCCATTTAAGGTTTCTTTAAGGTGTCATCCATATACAATCTAAGATGCATCTCAATATTATGTGAAAAATACAATTTCGGTGCCATAAAGCCTTATGATGATATGAGATCTATTGTTGCTCCCAATTATGATATTTAAAATTTCAGAAATAGTGATGATGAAGCATATCTATACACACTTGAAAATCTTGAAAATGGACGGTCTAGATAATGTGCCAGAAAATTAACAATTTTTAAGACTAAAAACCATTTTTTTTTTAATCTCGAAGTTAAGATGACCGATTTGAGGGTTTTCCAATATAAAAACCACCTTCTCTAATGAGTTTTTTTGGTGCATCTTACCTTAAAGTATAAAGTTGACACCTTATATCAACAATTTCCTTTACCAAAATGTCAACCACTTGTGCTAATGAAGGCGCTCGAAATAACTCGAATGCAAAGAGTGTATTTATTAAGCCTCTTGCGGGACCACATTATTTATGTGAACAGTCATCATCGGCACTACAATATTTGACCCTTGATTTTTCAATTTATATAAGACCGATGCAATTACAATCCTCCAGTATCTTTATATGCTCATTAATTGTATGCAAAGGGTTACGTCGTGCCAACATAAACGTATTTGGCTCAATGGTGCATGGGCGACCAACCAAGTAGCCTTGCAAAGTCTTTAGGAGACAGGAAAGCCCCTAGTAGACCACTCCTGAGCATCATTTGTTTTTTTGTTTTTTTGGGTAATTCAGTGGAGGAAGATAGGCCCCTACCGAATTCTTTCAAGTAGATTAGGAGTTAGCTTTTTGAAGGTATTAATCGGGTGGTGTTAATGGTGGGAATGAAAACCACAACTTGGCGACTAGAGTGTGGGGTGCTACCACCACGCATGAATAACGCCTTGACTAAGTGCTCATGACGCGTATGCGCATGATGGTCACGGTCAATATGAAGTGATGAAAGCAAAAGAGCATCAGGGGAGGGTGGAAATGATGCATGAAATGGCAATATGTGTCAAAAGTTGCTCAATAAACTCAATGGCACCACAATTGCACCAAAAATAAGCATTGGGGCATTCGATCAAACACCGGGTGTGCAATGGAAAAGTAAAAGAAAGATGGGCAGCCAAGAATGATGGAAAACGACATGGAAAGCAAAGAAATGAAACAAGGATCGTGCCTTGAGGTTGGGAGGAGCTAGTGCTGGCCTTGGCTTCAAGAATCACTTGTTGATTGAAAATTACTCTCTCAAAGAGAAAAATGCAAGCGGTAAAGAAAAGTAAAAACCCTAAACTCACTTTGGGGGTAAACTTTCTCTCTCTCTCTTATACACAGTGAATTCCTTGGCATGTGCATCGGTGCGGCCCCTTTATTCCTCTCTTTTTATCCTCTTCTCTCACACTTTCGCTGTGGCCTCTTGGGTACGCGCCTAGGCGCAGCCCCATCACACCCCCTTTATAGCTTTACATCTCGGTTTGTCATGAATACCTGGGCATGTGCCGAGACGCGGCCTCGTCAAGCCTTCTGTCTCTCTCTCTCTCTCAACTCGCTACGAGTTCTCGAGCACGTGCCCAAGTGTGGCCCAACAAAAGTCTACTATTCCTTTACCGCCTGTTTTGCCACAAGCTTTTGGGCACGTGCCTAGGCGCGGCCCTATCAAATTCATCTCGCTTCTCTCATTTGTTAAAGGTGCACTTAAGTCTGAACCCATCCCTCTTGAGTATACCAAATTTGCACCTAAGTGTGGGCCCATTATTGTTTCTACTCTTATGGGCCCATGTCCAAGAGTGCCTCTTTCGCTACCCTTCGCAATCTCTTCATGGACCCACACAAAGCCCTTGGCTTAGCTATGAGCTTAGCACACAGTTGTGCACAATAACACATGGTAGTCAAATGAGTTATGCTCTTTGCGCTACCTACACACACTAGCCCCTCAGCAGGTAACCTTTGGCCAAAGTGAAGCCTAGAACCCTAAGCTCATTAGCCCCCTTTCTAAACAAGCTATGAGCTTCCTAATCCACTATAACCCTGGGTTCAGCCCAATCATCTTTGGGGAATCTTAAAGACAATTCTTGTCTTTTAAGGAAATAGAGTCTTACACTTAACTCCAAATGCCTCGCTAAAACCATGGGAGTCTCAACCACCCCATCACAGGCCTTTGTTCACTTGGGCTTCACTGCAAATCTCCATCATTCCCATGAAGTATATGGTTAGATGCCTCGATCTCACCCTTCTCGAGATGACTTGGTGGCATGGTTCTGGGTTCGAGATAGACTTGGGACCTGAGACCGCTGTCTCGGGAACTGTGTAAGGCAGACGCGGACAGGAATACCAACCAGTGAGAGAGGAATTGAGTCATGAGGCGGGACTTACCTCACGTGGGTCTGTGACAAGCTCAGGCTAACTCGCATGGGTGCCTTATTAGATCACATAGAATACCCCCCTGGCCGGTGGCTGGTTCAGAAACGTCTCCCTTGGCTTATTTCTTCATACCTACAATAACACACACATTAGAACACAGACAAGTGCGTCCTAGACCCCACCTTGTCATAGGGTGAGCGCACACGTGCGTGTGTACCCAAAGAAAATAGAAGAATTAACATAATGGAGTCCATGTCAATTCGACAGCCTTACGATGTTTCCTTGACGAGGGACTCTTAATACATATCTTACAATAAAGAAAGAAAGAAAACGGGTGAGATAGAGAAGGTGAAAGAGAAAAGAAGAAAAGAAGAAAAGAAGAAAGAAAGAAGAGTTTGAAGGCTGGTCTGCTTTTCACCCAATACTTCAAAGAAAAGAGAAATACATTGAAGACCGGTCTGCTTTTTACTCTGTACTTTAGAGAAAGTAGAATTTTGAAGGCTGATATGCTTTTCCCAGTACATCAGAGAAAAGGAAAAATTTGAAGGCTGGTCTGCTTTTCACCTAGTACTTCAGAGAAAAGGAGAATTTTGAAGGCTGGTTTGGTTTTCACATAGTACTTCAAAGGTCATGTGTATTTTGGAAAACAAAGAGAAGAGAAAGAAAAAGAATAAAGGCTAGTATGTCTTTCAACTAGTCCTCTAGAGAAAATGTATATTTTCAAGAGAAGAGAGACACGAAGGCTGGTTTGGCTTTCACCTGGATCCTTCAGAGAAAGAGAAATGAGAAACGAATGCTGATTTGTTTTTCACTCATATCCTTCAGAGATGAGTATTTTAGAAGAAAGAGAAAGGAGATACGAAGGCTAGTTTGACTTTCACTCAACACTACAGAGATAAAATATATTTTTTTTTGAGAAGAGAGAAAAGAGAAACGAAGACGGGTTTGTTTTTCACCTAGATACTTCAGAGACAAAGAAAGAAAAGTGTTTGCTTTAGAGAGAGGAAGAAGAAAAGAGATGGGAGAAGGTGAAGGTTAGCTTGCCTCTCGCTAAACCTTCCAAAGGGGAGAAGAGAAGAAAGAGAGAAGAGAAGAGAAGAGAAGAAAGAGAGAAGAAAAGAGAAGAGAAGAAAGAGAGAAGAGAAGTGAAAGAGAGAGAGAAGAAGTTTGACCGAGCGGTTAGATTGGCACATTGGCAAGATTGACACGGCGGCTAGTCTGACGTGGCAACTAGATGGGCACGGTGACTTAAACCGACACGATGGCTAGACTGCTCAACGATAAGACTGGTACAGAGCTGGTCTGGCGCAGCGGCTGGTCTGACACGACAGTTAGATGGGCACAGTAACTATACCAGTATGATGGCTAGGATGCTCGGTGATAAGACTAGCACAACAGGATAAGGCTCAGCCTGTCCTTTGGCCAAGCAAGCAAAGGAGAGAGAGCGAAGAAAGGAGAAAGAGGTTGTGCTCCGCAAGACAGAGAAAAAAGAGAGAGAAAGAAGTGCCACACCCGACAGTGTGTGCTGCCGTGTAGGAGAAAAAGGGGGAGAGAAGAAAGTTCACGCTCGGCAGTGCTCACTGCCATGCAAGACATAGGGAAGAGAGAAGAGAGAGAGGGTCGCGCTCCACAGTATTCATTATCGTACGAGACAGAGAGAAAAAAGAAGAGAGAGAGGGTCACACTCGACAATGTTTATTGCCACACACGATAGGAGAGAGAAAGAAGAGAGAGAAGTTAGTGCCCTGTAGTGTTCACTGCCGTGCACGGCAAAAGAGAGAGAAGGTCGCGCTCGGCAATGTTCACTGTCATGCACGATAGAAGAGAGAAAGAAGAGGGAAGGTCACGCTGGACAGTGTTCACTGCCATGCATGACAGAAGAGGGAAAGAAGAGAGAGAATATCATGCTCGACAGTGTTCACTACCATGCACGACAGAAGAAAGAAAGAGGAGCAAGAAGAGGAAAGAAGATGATAGAAAAGAAAAGAAGAAGAGAGAAGGGGAAGAAGAAGAGATATATATGAAATATGAAGAGAGAGAAGGGAAAAAAGAAGAGAGAGAAGGAAAAGAGAAGAGAGAGAAAGGAAAGAAGAAGCGAGAAAAAAGAAAGAAGAAGAGAGAGAAAAGAAAGAAGAGACAGAAAAGAAAGAAAAAGAGAGAGAACGGACAAAAGAAGAGAGAAGAAAGGAAAGATGAAAGAAGAGAGAGAAAGGAGAGAGGAAAAAGAGAGGAGAGAGAAAGTTACCTTTGAAGCTTAAAGGCACCCGTCTAGATTTTCTCTCTCCTCTCTCTCTCCAAGCCGTGACCCAAAACTCAAGCAAAAGGGAATTTTTTAATTCATGAAAGAAGGGTCCTTTACATGAAGAGAGTACGTGCTTATATAGAATTT